TTCAAAAGCTCGTATTGTTTGTGCTGAGTGATTTGTGTCTATAAAGGTATAAGATTAAAAATGTTTGTGGGTTAAAAACTTATAATGATCTTAAAATTTCAAATTGTTTGAAAGAAGATTTGTGGGTAAAACTTGTAAAAAATACTTGAATCTCTAAAGAAAAAATATGAGAGAGAAATAAACTAAGATATTAAGTCAAACTTATATAAAATTTATGACGCGTCTTTCTGTACTTTTATCTTTTTACATTTCAATCATTTATTTACTTTTGTTGTAGTTCTTTCTTTCCCCACTAAATTTATTTATTTCGTTGCTAATTCCTTATTTGTTTTGCAAACTTGTTTTAAACTATGAATTTATCAAAGACTTTTTATTTGTACATCATTTTTCAAACCAACACAAAGAACCATTTGTTAGATAATATACCGATATGTCAAGAAGGTGTAAGTATACATTCAAATGTGATTTTAGTCAATTTCTTATTGATTTTATCATTTTCCATAAAAGGGTTAGTGGGGAATTGGAAGGAGTTAGTGACATTATGTTGGCAATAAATGAACACAAGAACGAGCTAGTGTGTATGAAAGTGAATTTGAAAAAGTTAGTCCCACGTTAGAGAGGGAGAGCACACTTTAGTAATGTTTATATATATTCCAAGTTGGATAATTGAGTTGGGTCCAAGGGGTACCCAATTTTGTGGTTGAATGAGAACATAATACCATGAACAATTACACACGTGTGCTCGCCGTCACTACTGTCGTCCATCCGGCCTGCTCGACTGGATTCAATTTGGTCTTCAGTTTGGGCTTGGATCCAATATTTTTTTGGTGTCCGAAATAATGAAATTTTTTTAATATTTTATTAATTAATTTAATAATTATGTGTAGTGTAAATTAATTAACTATTATTAATTAATGATTGGTGTGTTGTAACTAATTAATAACGTTAACTTATATTTTGACCACGCTTCAACGTATTGCCTTGCTTACCACGATCCATGCTTCCATGCTGACCAAGCTCCATAACTACTAGTTTTGAGCCAAACATGCTCTATTTTCCCCCATGTTCTCTCATATTTGGGTCAAATTTTTGCCTATCAATAGAGGCTTCCCCATCTCATAACTTTCACTCCAGATTTCCGAATTCCAAAATCTCTCTCTCTCTCTCTCTCTCTCTCTCTCTCTCTCTCTCTCTCTCTCTCTCTCTCTCTCTCTCTCTCTCTCTCTCTCTCTCTCCCTCTCTTCTCTCTCTCTCTCTCTCCTCTCTCTCTCTCTCTCTCTCTCTCTCTCTCTCTCTCTCTCTCTCAGCTTCATTTAAATTTTCTTTTCTATTTTCGAGTGGCTTGTCTGTTCCATCAACGACAGGTTCTTTGCCAGAAACTACGAGTGGTTTTAACACCATCATCGATTAGTATTTGTGCCATCTGAGAGTGTAATTATAGACCGATTACCTATCGCGCAAGTAGTAATCGTATATAGTAGAATCGAGTTATTTTATCCCTGAGGCATCGTGGGTAGTTCAACTAATTTGCATAATTTTGGGCAATGTCGCAAAATGTCTTAAAGAGAGTAACATAGTCAACGACTCTACCAAATAATTTTTTCCGTGACTGTTTTTAAAAATTGTAAAAATAACAATTTTAAGACGTTTCTAAAACTGTCATGGGCTACTGAAGAAATTATTGGTAATTATGTGGTAGTTTTCTCTGACAAACCGTTCAAGTTTTAGGAAGTCATTTCAAATGCTTGAAACAAAAGATGCACTTTTTCTTATCACTAAAAAAAAGGTTGTCAACGTTTTAAATGAGGAAATTCATGTTGCTCCTTCTTGATCAACCCAACAAAACTAACGACAAAAAATATGTAGATTCAAATGGAGCTGATAATTATGTTGAAACTGAATCTGTTGCATAGATTAAAGTGGGTGATTTACAAACTCAGGATAAAAATCACCCTATGGGAAAAGAATGATTATCTCTACAAAAATGTTGTTCAGAACAGTCTTGCTGATGATATTTATGATAATTATTGTAAATGTAAGACCACAAAACATGTTTATGAATCTCTTAAAAATAAATATGATATTGAAGAAATTGGAATAAAGAAGTATGTAGTTAGCTGCTACCTCAAATATCATATGTAGATTAAAGGTCTGTGGAATCTCAATGCCACGAACTTCATAAGATTGCTCACGAATCATTACTGAAGGTAATGTCCCTAGATGAAAAATTTCAGATTGTTGTTATCATTGATAAACCCCGCTGGTTGGAAAGATTTTAAAAACTTGCTTCGCCATAAAACAAAAGAATTTTCCCATTGAAAGTTTGATTACTCACCTCCAAATTGAAGAAGAATCTCGGAGACAGAATCATAAAGATGAAGTCTTGGTTGTTTTAACAAAAAGAAAAAGAAATTTGATGCAATTCTAAAGTTATCTAGCAAACCATGTAAGAATCAGAATCGCAATGTTATGAGTCGAATTAAGAACCCTTCTAGAGCCCTGATTGCTCAAATTGCTAGGCATAATCTACCATCTCAAAGAACTAACGCTCTTGTTTTTCACTTGCTTTAATTATGAAAAACCGGGTCATATGGCTAAGAGATGTAAGAGCATACATAAACATGTTATTCGGCTCTAGTGCATATGTAAACCTAACTGATGAGCAATTCATTGTTATGATCACTAAAATTAACATGGTTGGTGGATGTGATGGTTGGTAGATAGACATTGACAACCTCTCGTCATATCTGTTATGATTGTGATATGTTTCAAAACATACATGAATGTTGAAGATAAAAAAATGTTGTTGGGAGATGCTCACACCACTAATGTTGCTTAAAATTGAGAGTGTGGGGCTGAATTTTTACCTCTGGAAAGGTCCTAATCTTGAAGGACGTCATGCATGTTCCTGAAATTAGGAAGAATCTTGTTTCTAGTTTTCTTTTATATAAGGCAGATTTAGTCAGTCTATTGTGGCAGATTTGTACGCCATCAACTAGAATGGTATTTTTGTTGGGAAATGTTACGCTATTGATGGCATTTTTTAAGTGAATATTGATTTGCACAAAAGTTTCCCTTCTATTTACTCTTTATGATTTTAATGTTTGGTATGCTAGGACTTTTGTCATGTTAATAAATGCATTATCTCTAATTTAATCAACTTAGGATTAATCCCAAAATTGAATGTCTATGATTTAGAAAAAATGGGAATATTGTAGTTAAGCTAAAATAACTAAGACTTCACATAAATTAGTAATTACATAATTTGATTCTCTTATACACTCTGATATATGTGAATTAAATGTAACTTTAATTAGAAATAATAAACATTATTTCATCACTTTTATCGGACTATTGTTCTAATTATTGTTGTTGCAATTATGTTAAATTTTGGTGTTGCTCCTCACTAATGGGGGAAAAAATTTATTGATTATTTGCTATGTCCTAAATATAGTTTCCAAATCTAAAAATAAGATATCTCCTTATGAGATTTTAAAGAAAAGACAATCAAACTTTTCTTACTTTAGAACTTGGGGTTGTCCTGCTTATGTCAAAATTCTAGATTCGAAGTGAGTTAAACTCGCTAGTAGAGCTTAAGAATGTTTAGTCATTAGGTATTTTGGCAAAGAGTAAGGCATGTAAGTGTTGTGACCTAAATGATAGAATGGTCATATAATCAAATGATGTTGAACTCTGTGAAGACAAATTTCCTTTCAAATTGAGAAACAGTGTTGGAATTGAATTGAATCGCATTCATGTGATAAGAAGCACTGAAAGTAATGACAAAGTAGAAACAAAACTTCAATGAAAGAAACCGAGTAAGGTTGCTAACGACTGGGCCAGAATATGCAGCCTAACATTAGAAGATCAAAAAAATCTTCAAGAAGCCTTGTCATTTCGGATACAGATTGTTGGACAAGAAGATGAGATTGATTCTCGAGAATCTAAACGCTCTTTCTCCCGACAATAAAATTACATTTTCATTCGGGTACTAATTTCAATTAATGTAATTTATAGCTTAATAGTGACTTAGAACAAGAAATCTATATGGATCAACCAAAAGGGTTTGTGATTCATCTATATGTCATTAACGTGACAATTGAGGTACTATTGTTACAAGAATGTCTTCAATTAGATCTCACTAAAAACTCCATTGGAACAAGTTGAAAATATACGATTGCATTGCATGAAATTTTCATGTTAGTGACATCAATCAGAATTATATCATTATTGATATATAAGATGCATCAGACCAAATGGTAGGATTGTTGAAATATTTTAATAATTTAATCTTACATTATTATTGTACTAATCATGTAGTCAAACATATTAATTTAATTATATTACATAAGGTGCTTTTAATAATTATGTGATCAAATGATATTGAAAATCTACTAAAATTTTATTTAAGAAATATTTAATTAATTACTTAAATAATTAGATATGAAGTCAAATATAAGTTTATCAAGATGACCTATTTGACATCAAACTAATGTGATTTCTAAAGTATACAATATCACCATTACACTATAATGTCAATGTAGTCCCTACAAATTCTTAATTTTTATAATTGTTTGACTATGTAATAAAATAAAAAACATATAAATTAAATATTATTTAAGTTGAGTTGAATTGGGATTTCAGTTTCTCACAAATCTCAAAAAATTATTTAAGCCACCATATACTACATAAATTATTGGAAATAAAAAAACGTACAATCTTGGCTTATATCAAGAGGGTGTCTGAGATGATAGATATAGAGACTAATGCGATTAAGCAAGTTGTTTAAGATGCTTGCTAAGATGTTTGCTAGTCATCACAATACCTCAAAACCGTAACTCTGACAAGTTGGATCAACTAAAATTTATTGTATTAGTAGTAATATCTAAATCAATACCGACCACAGATAACGGCAAATAATAAAGTTTTTATTTAACATGAAACTTCAGAATAAGTTGGAAAAAATACCTTTATTTTAATTGTAAAATACAAGACGGACAATGCAGCAAATTACAGTCCATAGTGCACATGAATCCGAACTTCTTTCTTGCTGTCCTGAGTGTAAATCTAATCTGTTAAAAGTCCAGTGGTTGAGAGCTAAAGAGAAACAGAGAGTGGAGACAAAACACTTTTTCTACCGATTTCTTCATCTAATAACAAAGTGTTACAAGATGGATCCTTGTTCAAGTTAGGCTAATAATAAAAAACAGATGGAATATGGAATCAATTGAATATCAAGTATAAACTAAAGCATCAGATAAGGTTAAAGCAATAAAAAAAAGAGAATTATAATTATGATGGCTCAAAAATTAAAAAACAAGACTCAAATTAAATTATTAAGACAAGGTGGCTCAAAAGTGCTTGAAAGATAATCATCGAGAACTCAAATAATGAAATTATCACTCTCATCATAGCCACCAAAGTGTATCTCTTAATTTCAATTTGCAAAACTAAAATAGACAGTGAAATTTAGATAAATAAATAAAAATGAAGGGCATGGCATTCAGAATGAGTAGGAGGATATTTTAATCCCGTGTTTAATCATATGGAAAGGTTCAATAATTTCATCATCATGCCATGACTATAATATTTAAAAAATCTTTTAGAAATTTAATTAAGTAATCACAAAATGAAAAGAGCGTAAGATGAGTGAAATTCTCTCAGACAAATGCCTCGATATGTCGTCAGGATTTTGAATGGATCAGACTCGTCATCAATTGTTCATCATCACAGAGAAAATCACATCTAAAATCAAACAAAATAAAAACCAAACACTTTGGACAAAACATTATATGTAAAATAAAAATAAAACAAAAGAACAAAAAAAGAAAACTAAAACCTTAGGTTTTGGTGTTTTGGAAAGAAACGCAGTAACTGTGATATTTGTAGATCTGAAGATATGATTCGATTTTATAGAGAACGGGTTCCGTTGTATGTTAGGGTTTGTGAGAACATTAGAGGGTTTCAATGGGCCTTAACCCGGATATAATGGCCCATTTTTGTGTATAAAAGGAGCATATAATTAGTGTCTTTAACATTATCAATAATCTTTATAATAAGGGGAGTGTTAATTTTTCACTGTCATTTCTTGTGTCTCAAATTTGTTTATTATTATAAAAATAATTTTAATTGGAATGCACTCAAGGTGTAAAGAAGATTTACACTATCAATTAACCGTTGTTGCTGTTAAAATTTTAATAATATTTAGTTTTTATTTTAATTATTTATAAAATAGTATTTTTGAATGAATGTGATGCATTGAATGTGTAAAGAAATTTACACGAAAGACAATGCATAATAATTAATTTCATATAAAAAATTATTTTGATATATATTATTATTTAAATGCAATTGATAATCTGACTTGCTCAAACAAAATTATATTTATAGTAGTACTACATTATAAATAACAATAAATATGTAGAAAAAAATCATTTTACTAAATTATCTTCGTTAATATTAATATATTTAGTTTTATAAAAAAAACTAATTATATTTATTATATTTTTTATGATAGTTTTAAAATAAAATATAACTAATAATATATATATATATATATATATATATATATATATATATATATATATATATATATATATATATATATATATATATATATATATATATATATATATATATATATATATATATATATATATATATATATATATATTAGACAAAAAAGTCATACGCATTTGAAGAAAGGTTGTTATGCCTTGAAGAAAGCCTCCACAATGCTCCTTCACGTGGAAATACAGTATAAGAGGCTATATTAAAAAGAACTTATATCGTTGCTCTGGAACCAACTCGGGGGAGACCTAGGCAGCAACGCTCTTTCTCCGGCTCAAACAAAATATTTATCAGGAAAAGTGCAACTGTAGTATTCACTGTCTATCAAGATTTTGGAAAGCGTGATACCAAAATCCATGGATAAGTCGCCTAAACTAGGCAAATATGATGGAAAGGGACACCTTCGAGGAGCACGTTCAACTCGTCAATTATCGGCTAAATTACTCCAACACTAAAGATACATCCAAACACAGGCGGATACAGCATACGGCCAGCTTGGGCAAATGCCCAGGCTCAAAGGTCCAATTTTTTTTTAGTACCCAGCCCAATTTTTTTTAGTATTAAATAAAATTAAAAGAAAAAGAAAAAATAGTGAAAGTTAAAATTGGAAAAACCTAAAATTAGGAAAACCTACAGAGAAAAAAAATTGTCTGTCGCTGCTCACTTTTCTTCATCCTATTCAATCTGTGTTCTTCTATCTGTTTAATCCTTGTGCAATCTATCATCATTCCTATAGGCTATATTATTTCTACAGGCTATATAGCAGGTAATATAAATTTGGTTATTAAATAGTAGATGCAATGTGTGTTCTCTTTCTTTCTATATAATATAAATATACTAGAAACTATATGTGTTTTATAAAATACTATTTGGTATGTTATGTTTGTCACAAAGATAATCTAGATTACTAATATGTTGACATAGTATTAGATAGACACATATATAATTCTTGTCTCTTTGTACTTTTAGATAGACATACATGATACATAGACACATGTATGCTTAAATGCTTTGTATTTTTAAGCCACTAAATTAGTACAAAATTGAATTGATATACTAGATAGACATAGATACATAATAATTTGCCTTGTTTAATTTCATGTTTGATTCTAATTTATTTATTAGAGTTTAGGTTGATTGATTAATCATGTACTAATTTATTTATTTATTAGAGTTTAGGTTGTTTGATTAACCATATACAATTACAAATACTAATTTATTTATTAGAATTTAGGTTGTTTGATTTTTATTATTTTAAATTTTATTTTATTTATTTGAAGAACATTGTTAATTCTTATTTGTTTTATTTGATTATTATTCTTTTAAATTTTGAAACTACAATTTTGTAATTATTTTATCTTTTGTTTAGAGATGAGGAAATTTTTGGTTGCTAGAGAAAATATTGAGAATATGAATGTTGTGCAATCGGAAGTCGAATTAGAACCACCATCTAATGTGGTTAATGAGTTTAATCCAAATGAGATTGTGCGAGATCCAGGTCATAGGAAACAAATTAATGAGTATGCTCTGGATATTCAAGACCAAGTGAGGAGGGCATATATATTGAAGGGTCCAATGCAACCAGATTTGCCAAGCTTTCCTCGTACTACATTTGGGAGTGTTAAAAGATCATTTAGTAAATCATGGTATAAGAATTATACATGGTTAGAATACAGTGAGATAAAGGATGCAGCTTATTGTTTTTATTGTTTTCTCTTTAAGAAACCCGGGAGGGCCGAGCACTTTGGTTTTGAAGTCTTCACTAAAAGTGGATATAGAGATTGGAAGCATGCATCTCAAGGCTTGAAAGGTCACGTTGGTAGTCATAATAGTTTGCATAACTCATGTGTCAAGCACTATGATGATTATAATAATCAAAGACAAAGTGTGACAAGTAAGTTTGCTAAAGCAACCAAGGAATCAGAAGAATTATATAAGATTCGTTTGACTTGTTCTTTAGATTGTTCAAGATATCTCATAGCACACGGCATGGCTTTTCGTGGCCATGATGAATCCTCTACTTCTCTAAATAAGGGTAATTTTAGAGAGATGGTAGTTTGGGTAAAATCTCAAAATGAACAAGTGAGGGACGCTTTTGACCGTGGTGGAAAAAATTGCACAATGACTTGCGGTGACATTCAAAAGGAGCTTGCAACATGTTGTGCACATGAAGTTACCAAGGTGATTATGGAAGAGCTTGGTGATAGACGATTCTCCGTGCTTATTGACGAGTCACGTGATATATCCGTCAAAGAGCAAATGGCGGTGATGTTGAGGTTAGTAGTTGTATTTTCTAATTTTCATGACCTATTATTTTTTATGCCGCCAAGTAAACTTGTTGAATTTATTTTAGGTTTTTGAATGACAAAGGAAATGTTGTGGAACGATTTATTTCTCTACATCATGTCAAAGATACTACATCTGAGTTATTAAAGAATGCTCTTTATGGTATTCTTGATAAGTACGCGTTATCGATTTCAAGGATACGAGGGCAAGGATATGATGGAGCTTCAAATATGAGAGGTGAATTTAATGGTTTGCAAAGAAAAATTCTAGATGAAAATCCTTATGCTTTCTATGTTCATTGTTATGCTCACCGCTTGCAATTAGTTGTTGTGTCTGTTACTAGTAGTTGCTCATCTATTCATGATTTCTTTGAGTACATCTCCTTGATTGTGACCACAACAAGTGCATCTTGTAAGAGGAGGGATGCTTTGATAGAGGCACAACACCAAGATATTTTAAATAAACTTGAGAGTGGTAAGATATCTAGAGGAAAGGGATTGCACCAATCATCTAATCTCACAAGACCTAGGGATACTAGATGGGGTTCACATCATACTACATTGCTTCGTTTGGATCAAATGTGGCCCTCTGTGTTAAAGGTGCTTAGTATGGTTGATGAAGATGGACGTGGACCATCTCAAGCAGCGGGTTTGATAGAAAAAATGGAGAGCTTTAAATTTGCTTTCATTTTGAAATTAATGTTAAAGTTGTTTGGTATCACAAACGAGCTTTCAAATGTCTTGCAAAGAAAAGATCTTAATATTGTGATTGCCATGGAATTAGTTGATGATGTCAAAGCTCGATTGGCCACAACGAGAGAGAGTGGTTGGGATAATTTATTTTCTGATGTCCAAGATTTTTGTGTTGCTAAAGGTATTCCAGTTCCAAATATGGATGATGAAATACCGGTTCGGGGTCGTTCAAGGGTAGAAGGGAGGACTGTCACTAATCTTCATCATTACCGTGCAGAGATTTTTTATGTTGCTATTGACAAAATATGTGTGGAGATGGATCATCGCTTTAGTGAAGAAAGTAACATTATCCTTAATTGTTTTTCATGTCTTGATCCCAAAAACTCTTTCTCCAAGTTTAATGTTGATAAGCTTGCTCGTCTTGCGGATATTTATCATGTAGACTTTTCTGATGATGACCGAGGAACAATAAGGGATCAACTTGAGACTTATGTTCTTCAAGTGAGAAGAAATGCTTCATTTTCCACTTGTGAAGATGTTCAAAGTTTGGCTATAAATATGGTTCAAACTGAGAAACATTTAATATTTCCATTGGTTTATAAACTTATTGAGTTAGCTTTGATATTGCCGGTGTCGACAGCATC